CGGAATAAAAAAAAAGTAAAGTATGGAAATATCCAGCAGAGGGAAATTGTCCAATGGAAAAACAAGTTGAAGATCAGACTCCAAGAAGTAGAAAACAAAGAAAATTCATAACAGTTCCAATAAGAAAAGAGTCTCCCTGCTCTAATTTTGTGTGTGTGTGTGCGCGCACGCGCGTGTGTGTTTATGTGTGTTTGTGTTTATATACACACATAATGGTTCTAATCTATGTGCCTTGTGAAGGGCAAAAGAAAGAGGAAGGAAGGGGGGCTTGGTTAGTTTTGGTCAGAGGTCTTTGGATATCTATCACAACAGATAAAATCGGCCGCCCCAAAGCACATCACTAGAAATTGAAGCATGAAGACTAAGGAAATCCATCCACCTTCCAAAGAAAGGCTGAGGGAAGACATAAGCTCAAAAGGACTTGGGCTCGGCAGCCTCAGACAAACCTTTAAAATCCTGAAAGAAATTGTTTCCATCCAAAATTTTATGCTTGGCTAAACTGTGTACTTATTTGAGATTAAAATAAAGATATTTAGATACACATGTTCTCAAAAGCTTTACCTCTTGTGTGCCTTTCATTAGAAAGCTCTCAGGAGGAGCTTGGGAGATGACTCACTGTGGGTTAAATGCTTGCCCTGCAAGCTTAAGGGCCTGGGTTTGAATCCTCCACATTCACACATAAAGGCTGGCATCGTGAAGCATACTTGTAGCCCCAGGTTTACTAGCCAGCCAGACTGGCTGAAACAAGCTCCCGTTTCAGTGAGAGACTCTGTCTCAAAGAAATAATAGCAAGTGATAGGGGTATAAATCTATAGTCAAGCTGCTTGTGTGTTCACATACATACACAGACATACACACACACATACATACACAGACATACACACACACATATACACACACAAATACATACACAGACACACACACACAGACATATACACACACATACACACACACATACACACACACACACACACACACGATATCAAAAGACAAAACCAAGATGAATATTCAACTTGGTTCAAGCATCCCACGTTGTCCACATGTACTGTACATTACATGGCTCCTCCATTAAAATATGCTCAACTTCTATGATTTTTGTATATCAGTTAAAATGAACTGTTTAGAAAACACAACCTAAAAGAAAGTTACTACAGGTATCTCCTTGAGAAAGAGGAAAAACTGGGAAGAAGGATTAGTAGAGCACAGGGTGGGGGAGGGAAGAGAGCAAACTCCCTGTGCCCAGGTGGCCTGGAAGGTTAGAGCCGTTGGTTCCCACTCAGGGCCATAGGAGACGCCTGAGGAGGAGAATTTAGCTTAAATGACTGAAAAAAAAATAGAGAAAACTACCTAGTGCCCCACACTTAGAATCCCATCACTTGGGGCAGAGGCAGGAGGATGGCACTGAGTTTGAAGCCAACCAGGTCTACATAGGAAACCTTGACTCCAAAAACACAAAGTAACGACATCAACAAACCCTGTAGCACCCAACATTTCTATACTACTTACAAAATCTGGAGGTCCACTGCCACAGTTTAGCAGATACCAGCAGAAGAGGTGTTCTCGGCTCAGGAACAGGTAGCACCCCACTTCTCCAAGCAGGGTGCAGGGAGCCAGACCCTCTGGTACACTGTGGGCGGAGTGGGAAAGTGGAAGCCCTGGTTTAGGGACCCGGCCTTTTGCTCTGAGGATGATGGAATCTCTTCCTGTGTCGTGTGCTGTGCAGACACCCTTAAAGGCTAAGCCCAATAGGTTCACTGGAGAAAGTCTGGGAGACCCTGTTGAGAACCAAGAGCCACACGCCCCACATCTTTTCTGAAATTCCTGGCAAGTAAAACTTCCATAAAAAGCAAATAAACAGTTGTACTTAACAAAACAACCACCACAAACGCACCAACAGTCGCAATTCTCCCAATCTGTCACCTACCCTGTGCAAAAGAGACCCAGAGCCTGGGGCGATTCAGAGTGAGTGGTCCTGAAACTCCAGCTGGTACCAAAGCAAGCAGAGGGGCAGGCCGGAACCTACCCCTACCAAGTTACTTCTGGAAAGCCGCAAACTGCCCAGCTGCAGCCCATGGGCCTGAGTGTCCCCAAACACAGGCCACACTCTGTAAATTGGTTTCTCGTGGTGTAAATGGGTAATTGAACCCGGCTGGATATGAAGCCCAATCCGGGCCCTTATCCCATCCCTCCAGAGACAGAGGCAGAATTGCCACAACTTCAAGGCCTTCTTGGTCTAAAACGTACCTAACCGTCTGACATCATGGTCTACAAAGTTCACACTCAAGAACAGCAATGAAGTTACAGACACGTAGCTTTTTTATTTGTTTGTTTGCTTATTGATTTCTTTGTGTGGCCCTGGTTGTCCCGTGTCTCTTCTGCAGACCGTGCTGACCTCGAACTCAGAGATCCGCCTGCCTCTGTCTCCTAAGCGGCTGGGATAAAGCCTAGGCCACCACTGCGAGTTTTTTGATTTCTGTTTTTTGAGACAATGTCTAGTTTTGCAGCACTGGCTGGTCTGGAGTTTCGGCAAGTGTGTCCAACTTACAGCTATGAAAGCAGTCAAGCATATATCTTTAAACTGACTGGAACATGAAAATTTAAAAATAAAACAAGTGTCGGGCGGTGGTGGTGTACGCTTTTAATCCCAGCGTTTAGGAGTCAGAGATAGGAGAATCTCCAGATTCGAGGCCAGCCTGGTCTACATAGTGAGTTTCAGGACAGTCAGGGCTACACAGAGAAACCCTGCCTCGAGGGAAGAAAAAAAAAAGAAAAGTTCTCAGCTCTCCTCCACTGCGGCGGGCCTGGGGGCGGTGCCCCCTCTCCTGGTGGTGGTGGCAGGGACAGGCGCTCGATGTTCCAGGGTGCACAAGGGCACTGGGTACCCTGGTCCAGCCGGGCCGGTTCTGCTTCGCAAGGGGGAAGAGGTGGTGGTGGTCGCTTCCCCGCGGGGCAGCTCTTGGCCGCACCTTCCCGGAGACCACGGAGGAGGCGGCGCGCGCGTCCTCTTATCGACCCCATCTCCAGTTACATAAGGCCGTGCTGCTATCTCTGCGGGCCATCGCCGCGCCATTCTCCCACGCGCGGGGGCGCCTCCCGCTGCTCCACGCAAACCTTCTGCGTGCCTTAAGAGGCAAGGACGCGTTGACTCATTCATGTACCACCTAAGGTGTTTCCCCTAGCCTTCCCCCACCGAGGAGACCTCCAAGGGATCTGCCACCCACCCTGCTCTCCAGATTAAGAAACTGAAGCCCCATAGGGGTCACGAGTCCAGGCAAAGCACTTCCAAGTCCTATGGTGTGTCCAGATTGAGAAACTGAGGCCCTACAGGGGTTACTTGTCTAGGCAAAGTACTCCCGAAAACTGTGCGACCGCCAGGGGCAGAGGCAGGTTGTGTTCCCAGGTCTGTAGATAGGCGGGGAAGCCTCCACTGTGGACACGGAGCTGCCAATGCTGTTCCTAATGAGAAGAGAGCTGAGCAAGGCTGCCTGGTGCAGGAGTGAGGGCTCCAGAGTCCCTTGAGGACCCTTATGAGAAGATGGAGTCTGGCTGAAGGGAAGAAATGGGTGGGGGAAAAGTCTAAGGAAGGAGAGAGGGGCATGAAGGGGCCGCTGTTGACCTAAGGGAGGAAGTGGGTGAAGGTGCATCTTGACATCACTACCCAATAAGCAAATGCTGCGGCCTCTGCAGAGGGTGGGTAGTTGAGAATGAGGAAAGAGTAGGGAAAAGGCCATGTGCTGGCACCCCTGCCTCTGAGGGCTGCCTGCAGGAGACAACCCAGGAGCTGCTGCTCTTTGATCATCCTGAACATTCTGAGAAATCTGAGGCCCTGGAGGGTCAGCCCTGCTTCTGCGGAGACTGGGAGGCAAGTTTGGGGGCCACAGTCTCTGCCATATCAGCTCTTTCACACTCTCTGACTTGGACAGGAGTCTGAGCCGCCTGCCCACCCAAGCGAGCTCTAGTGTCCCAGCAGAATGTCCAAGAGAGATTGCCCGTCGGCAGGGTTAGCATCACAACAATTTTACAGTTGAAAGGTCAGGGGAGCCGGACGGTGGTGGTAGACACCTTTAATCCCAGCACTCGGGAGGCAGAGGCAGGCGGATCTCTGTGAGTTTGAGACTAGCCTGGTCTAAAAGAGCTAGTTCCAGGACAGACTCCAAAGCTACAGAGAAACCCTGTCTCGAAAGAAAAGAAAGAAAGAGAGAGAGAGAGAGAGAGAGGGAGGGAGGGAGGGAGGGAGGGAGGGAGGGAGGGAGGAAGGAAGGAAGAAAGAAAGAAAGAAAGAAAGAAAGAAAGAAAGAAAGAAAGAAAGAAA